CTACGTCAAATTATGCTCAGCCCCGAGCCCTCTTGCTGTTCTGGTGTGTTCGAATGAGTCAAATTTGAGAGTGAGGAGGTGACAACATCTGAAGCAAAGCCTTTGACAGCAGCTTTCAGATGAGATTTTGCGATGCTCACACCCCGCTTTATGAACGGGGTCACAAATCTAAACAATTTTGAGAAAATAGATGCTATTCCTCGTCCGTAAATTACCGGCGCACCTGAAAAGCCGGGCAGGCCGTTACCAGCCTGCGTTTCCTAATACCGTATAAATTTATTATTATCCATATTGCTATGAGTTATGGCAGATCCTTGACAGGCTGGAAATGTAGCTTGACTATCGTTTTATCGTAGGTAAAGTTTACAGGCTCGTTCTGATCGGTTTTGATTTCAATATGGATATTTTCTATGTGTTTGCGAGCCACAGGAATGTAGTCTGGTTTGTTAAAGCACAGGGTGATGATATCTCCGTACGCAGTAGGGGGGAGTAGCTATCACCCACGAGCTGTAACGCAGCTATATCAGAATAACAGAATAGATGATAACACCCTGCCTTTATATATGCAGGTTATGGGGCAAATTTGCGCTCGAATCGCTGCCAGACACCTGCTGGGACACCAAGCATATATGCGAGAGGCGGGAAAAACCTAAGTTGATATATGCCCCCAGCTGTGAATTCAAACTTTTTAACAATCGGGTGATATTTTAGATAAATATCAGAGTCGATACGCCTGAGGCAGGCTTCAATCTCTGCTCTCAACGTGTCCTCATAAAAGCCGGCGCGTATTTTCATTTTTTAACCACGTCATCAGGCCTCTGCTCAGCATCACCCTTTTTCCTCCATTCAAAATCAGGCCAGTTCCTCCATTTGACCAGGAAATAAACCTGTCCCCTCTGTTTACGCTTTGGGAGAATTTTGTCTATGTGATAGAGCTTTTCCTTGACAAGAGCGATTTTGTGCAGCTCATGCTCGTAAAAACTACCGATAATTTCTTCCCCATCGTAATCTTTGATTTTATAAACAGGAGGGTCTCCAGGTATGCATTGGTCAATAGTAAATATCTCACCGGTGAATGTTTGCTCATACCGCTTATCAAACACACCTCTAACTTTAGACAGCCTCAAGTGACCTCCCTTTTTAAATTTCATGGGCTTTTTCTGCAGCAAGAAGAAGAAGTGCCATATAGGTTTTGAAATACTAATGCTGTGTTGTCTGAATTTACTTGATTCGGGGCCATTTTTATGGACCGATGATAACTAGTGTTATAGCTGTGTAATAAATCTTGTAAAATATCTATACATTTTACTTCCTTTACTTAGTTCTATTAAACCTTTCACAGACTGAGGCTTTTAGATCACTCCCTGTAGCAAAATGACTTATACCATGCTTTTTCATTAAAAATTGAAAACTGGAACTAAAAAATTCCATACCGCTATCTGTTTGTAGCTTTTGAGGGATTTGGCTATCTTTTAAGACAGAGTCAAAAGCCTTAGTGACTTGAACGCCTGTTTTGTTTTTCAAGACTCTTGCATAAGCCTTTTTAGAGGAAATATCTATAACTGTAAGTAAATATTGATAGCCATCGTTATGCTCGGATAATGCTCTCAAAAGTCTGCTTGGTATTGATTAAGAGGTCTGGGGACAAACACACGGTTTCTCGGAAAGCGCAGGCGTGCAGCTCGGTGTAAGGTGTAAGCATCCTGCTCTGAGAGGAACTGCTGAGCTGTTTGCGCGTTAATCGTTGTACCAGTCTCATCCTGTACGCTTTTAATCAATTTTTGCACACCGCAAAAACTACCAGGGTGAGATGGGTCATAATCAGTGTTGGTCAAGTTACTTGAAAAAAGTAATCAGTAACTAATTACTGATTACTTCCCCTAAAAAGTAATCCAGTTACTTTACTCATTACTTATTTTCAAAAGTAATTAATTACTTAGGTACTTAGTTACTTTTTAAAAACACGATTTACAACCTGAATAGGTGATAAAGCGATAGATCTTTCAGCCCAAATCTACTTTTTCTGCATAATCCATCATACAAAATGTAATCAAATGGAAAAGTCTCTTTTTTTTTAAACTTGTTTTATTAGTTTTAATCTTTTAAATTTTTGCATCAAGCAAAAATTTAATTATATGCAACATTCTCTGACTGGAAGAAATTTGTTTAACATTTAAACCTATTTTCTGCACATCCCAGCACATAAAATAAAATACTTTTTGTGTTTACACTCAGTCTTTCAAATAGATGCAAGTAAGACACAGCAGAACATAAATAAAGTCAAAGACTAGCGGTGCTGTTGCTCTATTTTCACCTGTAAAGCAGGAGTGGGATAGGCGGAGGTTTACCCTGGTGCAGGTGTGCCGCAGTGGTGCGCTTATGCTTGGGGTAGTTTTTCGGGGATCGCGAGAGTTTTTTGCGATTCTGAGTTTGATTCTAAATCTCTTTGTTCGGATTAAACAAATGCAAATAAATTGAAATAAAGTTTTCCCCCGAGGCATGCAACCTGTATGTCTGGCCATACTGAACGTTACAAAGCAAAAGTTTAACTAAGCACTTTTACCCTGGTTTAACACATTTTTAAACACACAAGCACGGACCCGAGACACAAGCACGGTCCCAGACACACCCACCACCAGATGGCGTTTTTAAGCATAAAAAGTAAAAAAACTTATTTTAATGGCTTAAAAATGAAATAATGCAATTAGTTATAAAAACTTTTTTAAAAAAAATAATCAATTCGTTCTTTTTTGGAGGGAAAAAAAGCAATGAGCTATGAACTAGCATATTTTGGATGAATATCATACTTTTTGATGAATATCATATTTTTGTTACTTCCTTTATTACTTCCTTTATTACTTCCTAGGGTTACAAATCATTTTTATTGGGGCCACAAATCACTCTGTTTGACATAAGGGGCCTAATATCTCTCTCTACTGGGATATTTATAATTAAAGCTATTCTATATTTTGTAACTTTACAATATATTGTACTATTTTATTTAGTTTAATTAGTTACTATCTTATTTTCTTGGAGCATTAACCATATGTATTATTATTATAAGTATTATTATTCTGACTCTATATGAGTAAAATTGAATTGAAGTGAATCAAATTTATTTGAATGGATTGTAAGAACTGCCATAGGTGAGAGCCATTAAAAAAAACACTTGTTTGTGATTTACTTATTTACTTATTATGTAGGTATATTATGTTATACCTATGCACCTATCCACACACACAAACACACACACACACATGCACGCACTCATGTGTGTGTATATATATATATATGAAGGAATTACTTTGTTGCTGCTTTGCTTTATGGTTGATGATCAAAGGTCATGGCTAGTCTTCAACAAAAGATATAAATGCCATAATATGATATAAAGAAATAAATGTCATATGTCATAATACAGCTTTACGAGTTTACGAGCTTCTCTTTTGATTATTGCCACCTTTCTAACCAAAGCATACTTAGAGATAAGTATACTTTGGTTAGATATTTAGTTAGATTCCTGAATGAATTGATTTATTTTCCCTTTTTAAAGAAATTAGTTATCATGGAAAACAAATACATCTTTTGCTGTTGTTCAGGTCTTCCTTGTTATCTATATGTCACATATATCACATGACAGCGGAGCCGGAGGGGAAGACACATACACACGCACACAAATATACACACTGGCAGGTCCACTGGTCAGGGCGCCGTCAGATCCTGACAACATCTATTTTAAATAACAACCTGAAACTCAAAAACAGACCATTTAAAGGAAAAACAAACAGATTTTGAGAAATTCAAACCTTCACCATTAGTTCCAGGCATTATTCAAGATTCAAGGTCTTTATTGTCAGTATAATAATATACACAGTATACAGCGTACCGAAATGCCATTTCGCCCCAAGCCCCCCATGGTGCATTTATAAGAATATAAAAAAAAAAAATCTCAGAGAGATATAAAACTAGGAATTACAAATAAATAATAAATTGCTAAATTTGGGTAAATGTGACGAATAAAGCTTTGATTGAAATTAAGAGCTAAAAAGGTACTATTACTTACTACATCTTTCTACAATAAACAAAGACAGGACAGAGACAATACGAAGTGGTCATGTGTAATTACAGTAAAGTGAGATGATTGTGCAGTAGGTATTGAATACCAGGTTCAAGTTATGGCCAGGATATTGTAGACAAGACAGGATGAAGATGTGCAAGATGCAAAGTGTGCAAATATGGTATAATGTAGATCAGTAGATCATTAATCAGTAAGAAAGGATTTTCTTTCTTGTATTGTCAGAATAAACTTGAAATGTGCAGAATATTTTTATATAAACACTTCACTGTACTTTGAAGATTGACTTTAATCTTGAAATATTAAAGTTTACATTTTCATTTTGTGCATTTCAATGTGTATTATTGTTTTATATTTCGTTATTTTCTTCTTTTTTTTAATCAAAAATAATCAAAAAATAAAATTGCATACCTATATTTCCCTAGGTAAGGTTACCATGACAGCATAACAATATGCTCTGTATCCAAAACAAGGTTATATCAGGAGATTATTGTGTCCTAAGATTGGTTTAACTGAATACTGATGATAATGTGATATATCTAGTGACCTAAGGTACACCAGGGTCATATACATAAAAAGAATACCACATAGAGTAAATTATTGTCTACTTATGGCTAAGACTGAGCACTCTCTTATCAAAGCACATCCTAATAAAGAAACCATTTATGACTTGGATTTACGAAAGAGTGCTATACCTTCCTGGTTTTCATAATACAATCAGGTGTATAAAAGACCCACCTTCGCTGCAGCTTTTTTGGGTATTTCGTCTGGTCTCAAGGTGAGTAAACAAGGGGAACAGTCTCTCGAAGTTATTCTCTCGTAATTGTGATTATTTATTTATATATACTTTTATACGTCTTACAGTGTTGCCTGATTTGTAGAACCAACTTCATTTTTATTAAGTGAACTCTTAAGAAGTGAATCCGAGATGGCCAGGCTCACAATTCTAGCAGGTATTTTAAGAATTTACTGGATCTATGTAATATAAGTATATCATGCAAGTTTTTATTTTGCTTACTCTTATATTAAAATTTCCATAGGTTTGTGCCTGGTGATAAGCCAGCTGGGTAAGTTGGGTTTACTTTGGTAAACAACTGACATTTTGATCACTACTTGTGTATCACTACTGGGACCTGTGCTTTATCAATATTACTTTGCACCACCACAGGATCTGCCAGCAGGATGGAGTGCTACTTCACCAACTGGTCCCAGTACAGGCCTGGAGATGGAAAGTT